CACACACACACACACACACACACACACATACACACACACACTCACACACATTCACCATATGCACACAGATGTTTCATTTAATGTTGGCATGCAGTTCTTCCGTCTTAGCTTACCACTATTTTCGCGTGTTTTTCTTCCCCATCGAATCAATAAAAAAGACACCATCAAACATAGTCCAGGATTGTCGTAGATCCAGATTTGGCTGTTGCCCGGATAGAGTTACGCCAGCCAAAGGAGATAACATGTTTGGATGTGAGGATAAACGTCCAGCTCGTGTTGGTGAGTAATTTATTTGATTTTTAAATTATTATTTTTGTTGACATTTCCCAAATTTCAATTAGCATAACAAACAATATTTCATGTGCATTAAAAAAACACCAATAACCACGTCCACACTCACAGTCACACTTGATAAATACATTAATAAATCTAACTCTCTGTCTTTGTAGTAATAATTATAATATTTTCTAGTGCATTTTTGTGCAAGATCAAAACAACAACTTGAAAGCACTTTATTAATACATTAATTATCTATTTAGAATGTTGCTTTGATTTTTTCCTCTTTTTTTGTAGCACATTTTAGTCACTAATGCTTAAATTTTACAATTCATATAAAGGTACACTTTTATCTATGAATATTAAAATTGTTTGCATTGTTGTCTAAGATTCACTCTTATTAACCAAAAAACATCACAGAATAATATATACTTGTTGTAATAATCATAACACCATGATACAATTAAGAAATTACTGATGAACTGTATTCATTTCATTTTTTATTTTTTTTATTTTTTTGCAAAGTTAGTAGCGCTGCTTCTGTTCTCGCGTTTTTAACATACGTTTTTGTAACACAGCTCGCGTTTCTTCAGTTACGTAACCATCGAGAACGTGTTCCAATAATTATTACTCAAATCTCATCGCGCAGGCAGTGAGTGAGTTGATGTCTCGCCGGAAATGTTAAAAAGGCGTGCCCACTACGGCTGGATCGGACTGATCGCCCCACTCGATAGCCTGTTAACAATACTGGATCTAGAATCTAGACCTAAATTCTGTGTGGATTTTTCTGAAAAAACGTTACCTCTGAAAACAGGTGACCCCCCTCCCCCCTTCCACCCCACCCTTCTTTCCCCACCCCTTTCCCCCCTCTTCCCTTCCCCCTTCCACCCGTCACTCTTCTCTCCCAACAGTGTAGCGTGACGTGCGGCTACGGCCGACAACAGAGACGTGTGTACTGTCAGAGAGATGCTGCCCGGGCCGGCAGTGTGCCACAGGTCATGGACGATGACCACTGTTCATCTGAGAGCCGGCCAAAAGACACGGAGATCTGTACGCTAGACCCGTGTCCTGACGGAAGTAATACGAATATAGATCTGGTAAGAAGGGGGTTGAATATTACGTTTTATATTCAGTTCATTTTCTTGAAAAAAAAAAACTTTTTTTTTTCTTTATTTCAATGTCATTTATTATTTGTCGATTTGACAAAACATGGTTTTATTTTTAAGTTATTTTCGTTATGTTGTTTTGTTATTACTATTGCTTTGTTTCTTAGTTGATATTTTAAAAAGTAATTTCTGCTTAGTTGATTGGCTGAATACAGTGAATGCAATATAAAATATGACCATTTTGAAAACGAGGGTTGGATTTTTTCTGGGTTTAATAAAAAAAATTAACTTACTATAAGTAAAATGCGCCTGGTGTCTGTGAAGGTTTGAAAAAACAGGGTACATAACTTTGGTACATCTTTGAAGAAAGGATGTAATAGTCTAGTTATTCCCCCTGGTTTTTTTATAAGTTGAGGCCTCCCCGTTCTAAGATCTTATTCCACAATCATTTCGACACTGCTTCTTTATGTAATATCTCTCTCTCTCTCTCTCTCTCTCTCTCTCTCTCTCTCTCTCTCTCTCTCTCTCCCTTTCTCTCTACACCAGCCCGATCCCCCTCCCCTCTTCGGTTTTCTGCTTTTAATTTCAGTACAAGCATAAAAAGAAAACTGCTTCGTTTAACATCCGTTCGTAAATTTCAACTTCATCGTGAGGTGGAGTCGCATTCAGAACGTTCCTAAGAGCTCGGTGACTGTGCATAAATCATTCCACGAAGCAAACAAGCAAACTAGGGCTAAGTTGGTCTACTTCGTATTATGTATGGGCTTTGTCCCAGGCACGTGTGTGTGTGT